TTGAAAGGTTTTCATAGGAAAGAGTTTTATTTTCCTTGTAGCTTCAGATGGATGGTATGCTCTACCAGGCCATGGATGCTATATCTTAGCTCTGACTATCAAGAATAACCTAACAATTAGAACTGCCCGACAATGGAAGAATTACCTTTTAAGTAGTGAGTTTCCTATCATGTATAGGGTTCAAGCAGAAACTGGATGACTGAGCCACCTTTGTTTTTGCTTCAATTTACTATCATAGCCTAAAATAGACAATAGAAATTTCTAATCTAAAGAAATATCTAATTGAAAAGAAAGTGGGTTGGTAAGAGTGAGGATAATTGAAAGGACATCCATGTTCTATTGGTATCACCTCAACATCAAAAGAAAATGAGGAAGGCACCTAACATTTGGATGGAACTCTTTGAAGAATTTAAGGGGAAGGCATAGTCACAGAATGGGTAGGCATGGGTCGGGGAGGGGAAGCTATATCATTGGAAGAAACATTTTCACATATAATGTCAAAAACTGACTTGAGTATTTTAAGGAAGGAAAGAAACAGTCATTTATTAAGGGCTTATAATGTGCCAGGTACTGAGCTAAACACTGGGGATAGAAATACAAGCAAAAAAGAAAGATAGTTCCTATCCTCAAGGAACTTACATTCTAATGGGAGAAGATAGCACATAAAGGGAGGTAGGGATTGAAGGTACCCAGCATGGAGGCATGGCGTTGAAGTTGGGAAATCAAAATCAGAGTCAGGAAAGGAATACAGGTTTGTTGGCCTGGGCCTCTCCACAAAATAGATGCCCCAGTAGGAACTCACCAGTGGGACAAGGGGGGCTGGCCTGGTGGAAGAGTATTCCAGAGCAAGAAGGATGCAGAGGTGGTTGGGTGTTCCAGGGCAAGGAGTACCTAAGCGATGAGGGGAAGAATGAAACAGCAGCTGAGAACTGGTTTTAAACCAGTCAAGATTAGAAGTGGGAGGGAAAGTTCATATTGAATAAGTCTACAGTGTTTGTCATTTTGTTGGTTTATCTTTTGAAAATATAATAATATTTGGGGATGCTGATAGATTATTGCAACCTCCTCCTCAAATGTTATAACTGTGCAAGATAGACCTCAATTAGAATAGTTTGATTAAATGACCTCCTCAGTTCTTTCTTGGGGCTTCGAGGTAGTGTGGCAGAGTGGTTAGAGCACTGGTCTGAGAGTCAGGAGGACCTAAGTTCAAATCTGGCCTCAGACGCTTACTATCTGTGTGACCCCGAGCAAGTCACTTAACCCTGTTTGCCTCAGTTTCCACATCCGTAAAATGAGCTGGAGAAGAAAATGGCAAATCACTCTAGTATCTTTGCCAGGAAGACTCCAAATGGGGTCATGAAGCAGACATGACTGAAAACACTCAACAAGAAAGGTTTCCTTCTTACACAAGAATGCTATAATTTCATTATGGGGCAAATACTTTTCACCTATTGTCACTGAATGTGCTTTCTAAAATTTTCTCCTTTTTGAACCAGACAGGGAACTCTCAGTGAGAAAACACCCCTCTACGAGCACAAATGGTCACATCCTCTGCACTTCCGATCAGTTTCCTAGGGGCACCAAGTGTTTAAGTAACTTACCTAGGGTCACACATGAAGTGTGTGTTAGGGGTGGAACTTGAAACCAGGCCTTCCTAAGTCCAAGCAATACTTTTTATCCATTCTCCTGCATTTCTAACATTAAATATCTTTTTTCTCCCTATTGTGAAACCAGTTCCCTGTACCTTAGAAGCAGCGTGAGACTTCGTTTCATGGAAGACTTAACAGTCTATTCAGGGCAATTTCTTAGGGACAAAGGGTTTGAAAATAAGGTCAGCTCCCTTCAGCAGGGAAACAGCCTGATAAATGCTTGCTAGCAAAGTGCCAAATACAGGCAGGAGGATTTCTTCTTTTTTTTTAATCTTCAAAACCACAATATTTGTTACAATATATTAAATATGCTTGGGAAGCAGGAAGACCGACCTACATTATTTTAAGGAAATTCATTTTCTAGAAATTAACTGTTACAAACTCTGAAGTGATTTTTTTGGGCTGGACAGAATAATGCATTATTGGATTCTTTCTACTGAATTGTGTTAATATGGGGGGGAAAGCTAGACTTGGAGTCAGGAAAACTGTATTTAAATTCCACTTTTGACATTTATTAGCTAATTCATCATGGGCCACTTAACCTCTGAACCTCAATTTTCTCATCAGTAAAATGGTAATAGTAGCTCCCACTTCACAAAGTTGTTGTTGAGGAATGTACTTGGTAAGCTTTAAAGCTCTGTATAAGTGAGTTGTTGTTGCAGTTGTGGGTATTGCAAGTAATTATCAGCCTTACTACCTGAGGTAGCTGTCGAGTCTAGAATGAAGCCACAATGGGACGGGATATGAGGAATTGTTTTTGTTTTGTTTTGTTTTGTTTTGTTTTTTGGTGAGGCAACTGGAGTTAAGTGACTTGCACAGGCTCATACAGCTAGTGTTATGTGTGTGAGGCCAGATTTGAACTCAGGTCCTCCTGACTCCAGGCCAGTGCTCTATCCACTGCATCATCTAGCACCCCAGGAATTGTTGAAGAAACTGGTATAGAGTAGGTTGACCACAACCTCTCCATGACTTAAATGATCTTTGAGAATTAAACCGATTGAAAAATTCACGACTCTCCAGTCAACCTGGTGACGTGCTTCTCTGACCTTAGCTAGGCTGGTCCTTAGACAAGAGGTAGTCAGCTACCAGGCCCAAACTTGACATGTATCCAGCTTGAGAGACCTGCCAGAACTTTTTGTTTACCTAAGATAGCCTTTTTGGATCTTAGTTAAGCTTTCTACATCATTTAACTTTTATTTTTTGACTGGATAAGGGAATTCATTGGCAAGGGCAAATCCCAAGGAGTAACTATACAAAATTAGAAGTCAAATGGAGTGTGGTGCAATTAGGACAGCAGCGGAGTCAACAAGCATTTATTGACTGTCTGTTATGTGCCACGCACTGTGCTAAGTGCTGGGATATGAAGAAAAGCCAAATCCCGACTTCACGGGGCTCAAAATAAATGGGAGAGACAACATACAAATAGCTATGTAGAAATAAAATATATATATATATATATGTGTGTGTGTGTGTGTGTGTGTGTAGTATAAACTGGAGATAATCTCAAAGGGAAGCCATTGAGATTAAAGAGGAAACCTTGCAGAAAGAGGAACTTTAGCTGAGACTTAAAGGAAGCCAGGAGGTGAAGATGAGGAGGGAAGGAATTCTATGCAGAGGGGACAACTCACAAAAATGCCTGAATTCTGGACATGTAGTATTGGATGTGCGAGGAAAGCTATTGTTGTTATATCAAAGAGTACTGGGAGGGGAAAAGAGAGAGGGAAGGTAAGAAGGGGTTAGGATTTGAAGAGTTTTGGGTTTTTGTTTTTTTTTTCGGCTAGGCGGTGGGGTTAAGTGACTTGCTCAGGGTCCCACAGCTAGTAAGTGTTATGTGTCTGAGGCCGGATTTGAACTCAGGTCCTCTTGAGTCCAGGACCAGTGCTCTATCCACTACGCCACCTAGCTGCCCTCAAGGATATGAAGAGTTTTAAAAACCTGACAGAGGATGTTATATTTGATCCTGAAGAAAATAGGGAGCCACTAGAATTTTTTTGGATTGGGAGAGGGTGACATAGTTACTCCTATGTTTTGGGAAGATCGAATTGACAGCTGAGTGGAAGATGGATTAGAACCAGCAGGCTATTATTGAAGCTGATTATTATAGTTGTTCCTCCTTCATTCTTCTGTTATATATATGTGTGTGTGTATATATATATATATATAATATGTATATATATACATATATATACATATGTATGTATTAATTAATTTATTTTGACTTATCAACAATCACTTCCATATGCTTTTGAGTTTAAAATTTTTCTCCCCCTTCCTCCCCACCACCTTCCCCAAAATGGCGCACAATCTGATATGTTCCTCCTTCATTCTTGAAGAGGATCAATGACATCAGGAGGCTGATGTCTTGACTTAATAGAGAATTAGATTTAAGTAAGGCAGAACTGTGCAAGATCAATAGCTTCACTCTCTCCTCTAGAGTCATTAGAGTCCAGTCGCAAGACATAAGTCAAGATGACTGGTGATAGCTCCAGATACAGTGGGAGACCCAGGCCATTTTAAACTCAGTTTTTCTCAGGCAACACCCATTCAGTGATTAAAGGCTAGGTAAGTATTGAGGCTAAAGATGGCCTAGTTTGCCTTCATAAAAGACTCAGTCTAGGAGGGGAAGACCTCCTGTCTAGAACCAATTTGAAGCTGAAAAAGTTCATTAAATGTATGGTCAGAGTGATACAAAAGTTGTGCCCCAAAATCCCTGAGGCTGATGGTGGGGACTAGGTAAATTTGGTGCTAAAGTCAGTGAAAAAGTTGGGAGAGTGACCTTGAGGTTAGTAGATGATGAGACAAGAATATAGATGGAAAGGGGATGGCATCAACAAATTTTATGAACCTAAAAGAAGAAATGGTTATGAATTATAGGATTTTAGTACCAAAAGGGTCCTTAGAGATAATTTTTTTTTCATTTTTACAGATGAGGAAACTAAGATACGTAGCCCAGAGTCATATGGCTTGTAAGTCGCAGAAATGGGATCTGAACCTGATTCTTTTCTAAGTCTAGGGATTTTGTTGTTGTTGTGTTGTTTTTAACTAGTGAGTGGTCTGAAAATGGCATGGGAAGCACCCCATTTCCTGACCCTGTGAGTAGAAGTAGGAATTGTTTTCAATGGAGAGAATTGCAAGGGATATCTTCAGGGGAGAGCCAGGTTTCAGTTAAAGTGAGTTGGTCGATGGAGTTTAGAAGAAAAGTTTGAGAATTTAAGGGAGTTTGTTAAGTATCAGGGATTCTAAAGGGGAGAGTGGAACGGGCTAGTAAGAAGGCCAAACCCAGGGTAGGAGGAGCCTGAGGAAGAGCAGAAATGTTCTGGATAGGAATGACGATTTCGGAGGAAGCGACAGGAACGAGCAACAGTGTAACGGGGAAGTAGACTGAAATGGCATTTTGACTTTGGTTCATAACCTCCATTTTAAGGACTGGCTTCAAGTCTTGCCTTTGGTCCATGATAGCTGTGTGATTGTAGAAGCTGGTTCCCCAGCAGATCTTCAGAAACTACAAAGTACAGATGAATTGCTGATCTGTGTTGGCGAAGTGAGGTTCTATACTGTAAGTACTCCATACAACTACAATTACAAGTTTCTTCCTCCTTTTTCTCTCCCTTCTCCCATTAAAACAAGGGGGAAATGGATATTTAATAGTATTTGGAAATTGTATTGCCATAATTAAGGTGGGGAAATGCCAGTTAATTATTAGGAACCTTTGGTAACCTTATTAATTCAGGCCTTGAAAAGATGTGGGATATTTTATTTATTTAAGATTTAGTTTCTTAAAAACATAGTTTCATTTGCACTATTTACTTTTCTTAGGAATCTTAGGTTATCCTCAGTCTTTAAATCCAGCAATTTTATTGTCTTCTCAAATAGCTTTGCTCTTTTTTTGTTGCCAAGACACACAAAATTTATATTATGGAGGGTGTACTTTTTAAATTGATGAAAACAGATGTGGTCACTATTATCATGATTGAATTTGGAAGAAGATAATGAAAATAATAATTTCTAAAACCAATTCCGTCTCAGGTCACAAACTAAATAATAACCATTAAGTGAACTGATCATATCTTTATGAAAAAATATGAGGAAGGGGTTAGTGAAATCTAGTAAAATCTGTAAGCTGTAATTAAAGTGAATCCATCTTTCTAGAAAGAAATGTTAGTGTTTTTATGGGACACTGAACTTGTATTATATATAAAGTTGTTTTATTTAAGCCCTAGTAAAACCAGACATAAATTTGGGCATCTTAAAAATCCTTAGATTCTTATGCTTTTTTTTTCCTTTTAGGGGTAGAGGGAATTTCATTTTAGGTGAGCCTGACTAGAGGGAGTTAGGATACATATTCTTTGTGGCCTTTTAAAAGAAATAGCTGAAGTTTATGTGTCACTTTAAGATTTTTTAAGTGCTTTGTCTACATTATCTCACTAGATCTTAAAAATTTCCCTGTGAGGTAAATACTGTAGGTATTATCCCCATTTTATAGATTAGGAAACTGAGATTCAGGTTCATAGAGGCTAAGTGACTTGTACCAAATGAGTGTCAGAGCTGGGAATTGAACCCAGGCCTCTTTTGCCTCAGTGTCCAGTATAGTTTACATTCCACCCACCCCTCCTCATGTAATGATTTTGGGATGTATGAGCTTAAGAAACCTGGCTTCCCACTGAAAACACCATATTCCTTGTCACTTTCTCCAGTACTAGCAATTCCTCTCAGACCTTCATAGTAGGATTTTTTACTTCCTCCCACATCATTACCCACCCCCCTCCCCCCAGAATTCCCCATCATCCTTGCTTCTCTTCCAGATATCATTCAGTAACCTCTCCTCCTTTGAAGTTTAAACAATCTGATTATATCCCTTGTCTGGGTCCCTGTAGCTGCCATTTTCCAACCTTCAGGTCACATTCCAACCTTCCTAAATGATTTCAGCACCTGGTTAAATTCTTTCCTCTTCATTCCAACCCTTCATTATCCGAGGTAACTTTAATACACTGATAACCCTCCAAGTTCTTCAACACCCCCCACCCTACCCCCTTCCCCTCCCAACTTCTATGACCTTCGACCACTTGAGCTCAGTTTCCTGTAAGGGAGGTTATACTTAGACTCACCTACATTGAGAAATTCCTCTCTCTTATCATTCTCCTGTCCTTTCACCTTTCCCATGGCCTCCTGCTCTGGAACCTGCTCTTCATTCTTGGGTGTACCTTCAGTCCTAGTTTGTCCTAGTAAATCACCAGGTTTTAGTCAATCCTAGTCTTGTTCTGGCTTTACTTCCCTCACTTTCTTGTTAACCCTATTCTTAGCTATTTCTGAGAAGCCTCGGTTATCCTCTCAATTTGAGAGAAAGAATTAGTACTTCTCAGTCTACTATGGATCATATCAACTGATTTGTTGGGATCTATGGAAGTTAAAAGGCCAGGCTTTTGAGAGAAGTAGCCTGAATGCTTCATATTTTAATTCATTCAACAAACATGTATCTTGTGCATAATCCATTTTTCTATGCCTTTAGAGAAATACAATACTATAAGGAAATGGTTCTGTCCTCAAGGAACTTACAGTGCTGTGTTTTGTTGCTGTTCAGTCATGTCTGACTCTCTATGACTGGCTTCCCACTGAAAACACCATATTCCTTGTCACTTTCTCCAGTATTAGCAATTCCTCTCAAACCTTCATAGTAGGATTTTTTACTTCCTCCCACATCATTACCCACCCCCCTCTATGGGGGTTTTCTTGGCAAAGATATTTGCTATTTCCTTCTCCAGCTCATTTTGAAAATGAGGAAATGGAGGCAAATAGGGTTAAGTGGCTTTCCCAGGGTCACACAGCTAATATCTGAGGCCAGATTTGAACTCACGGCTTCCTGCCTCTAGGCCCAGTGCACAATCCGCTGCGCCTCCTAGCTGCCCTTTACAATGAAATAGTGAGGAGATATGTGTAGAGGTAAATATAATATCTATCAGGATATAATTGCCTAAGAAGAAAACCCCAATGAGATGAAATCCAGTAGGTATGTAGATGAGTAAAGGGTCATCCCTCGTTGCTATCAACCTGCCTAAACTATCCCCCTTTGTTTCTGCAAGTATCAGCTGATAGAAAGAATGCATATATATACTGGTTAAACCCAAATGACTGTTATATAAATATATACATATACCATCATCCTCTGATTTTTTTTCTGCATTGTGAAATATTCCAAGTAAATCTTGCTTTCAAACTCTTACTGCTCTTGTTGCATACTCTGTGGGTTTGAGAACATTATTGACATAAATGGATCATCTAATTCAGCGTAAGCTGAGAGAAGAGGGTTTTTTAAAGCTAATATTTATCTTCTGCAGGGAAGCCATGAACCATCAACCTTTCAGAGATTTTAGCTGTCTTAGTCTAGTGACTAGACTCTGGTCCTTTTTGTCATCCTAATTATGATGTAGTCCAGTGATATCAAACTCAAATAGAAATGAAGGCCACTGAACTGGACCCTACACTGACTTAGAAAACCACATATTAACATTATCTATGTTTTATTGTATTTTTATTAATTTTGTTAAATAACTCCTGATTACTTTTATTCTGGTTCAGGAACTTTGGAGTGTCGAGAGCCACAAGCTGACTGTTTGAGACCTCGAAAGTAGTCCTTTCTATGGATGGAGTGTAAACAGGGAGGCATTGAGTGATTTAAGCCAGTGTGGTTTCATTGTTTTGTTCACAGTATATGTTGTCAGTTCCATGAACATTACCCTTGCTTAACATTAAAAACCATTGTTTTATTTCAAGTTGTAAGGAAGGAAAAGGGACTTTTTTTTTTTTTTAAATAAAAAGGGCAGGTCATATCACCTACAAGTGTTTAGGAAATCAGAGACTGTGAGACCGACTGAAATTATATGTACCTCCTTTTAAAGGAAAGTTAAGAACCCTTAGAGAGACCAGCCTCTGACTTAGAGAAGAACTTTTAGAAGACATAGCTGGTAGAGGAAGAACCCTAGGGAGTCTCTGAGCTGCCAGTATTAAGGTATTTCACATCTCTATTTCAGCAGTTTAGTGATATTTTAAAATGGCCTACGGGCCATCAGTAGTTGGGAGAAAGAAAATAAGTCATTGTTTAAAGAAAGCCGATAACAATATTCCATTAGCAAAGTGTTAAAAAAAAATGTCACAAGAGCAGTTACAGGAATGATAAAGCACCTTGATTTTTCCCTGAAACATTTAACTTTGTTTAAATACCTTTTTAAATACCATGCCCTTGTCAGAATCAAAGTGTGTTAAATCCTTCACAAAACATCTTCTGTGAAAGAAAAAAAAATATATTAAAAAGTGGTATTTTGTTTTGTTTTTTTCTGCCCACTGCTTACTCATTCTCTAAGTGCTTGTCCTGCGGTGGGCACCGCTGGTGGAGGGATTATGCAAGTGATGAAGACAAAAGAAATTGAAGACTTGTTCCTTGCATGTGGGGAGTTTCCAAATCTAGAGACACAGCTTATGATTGTAGAATTGTCCCAGTAGTAAACAATAATTTCTAACCAGTCTAGAATAGGTTGGCTAGCACTAGCTGTGTTTAATGATGTCATGCATTCTCAAATATTGAAAGCAGAAAGGGGAATCTCTACAGTCTACGTTGTCTAAGCTCAGCCTGATGTGACGGGCAGGGAGCTTCTCCACTGAGAAAGACCAAGAACTGGAATAGAAGAGGCACTAAAAGTGAAAGGGTAGATTGGAGTAGAGAAGGTCAGTGTTCAGGATCTTGTTAGTACTGTAAACTTCTTACTTTAATGAACAGCGAAATTACACATTAAGTATACAGTTTGGACAGGGCATTAGTGGTAAAAAACACCTGGCTTCACCTTTTTTTTCCCTTTGCTTTGAAAGCTAAGATGTAATGTGAAATGAATCACAAGAAGGACCCAGAGGTTTGTAGTCTATTTTGCCAGCATTATGCTGAAATATTTTTCTGTTAAGCATGAAAAATGAATCTTGTGGATGTTAGTGTTCTAAATTCAGTATGTCTTTCTGTTTTTTGGGGAAATGAAAATCCATTTTAGGGGATAAACAAAGGATACCTTGGCAATATAGTCACTCCCATTTTGTCTGGAGGACTCACTCAAAGTGAGACCCTTTTACCCTCAGAAAAGATGGCTGTGAGATCTCAGTTGTTAATGGGCAATTGACTAGGGGTTTCTTGAGGAACTAGAAGAGTGAAGAGGCCATTTTTAATTTGGCTTATAACTTGCATACTCTTCTTTCAGATGGTTTAAACAATGCTCTTCATTCAAATGATTTAAACTTTCAGTATTTTGTAGTGACTTCTTTTGGAGGGTGGTGATCACTTTCTTCTTCCTTGTTTGGTGTTGAGAGTTACTTGAAGTGATGAGGGCAGAAAACGGCCACTTTACAATGGCGGTACCAAATAGAGCATGGCAAAGGAGTATGCCAAGCTTTACATTTCTTGGCATCGTATCCTAAAATTATATGACTTCTTTTTTCTATTTTTTCTTTTTAAAATTTCTAAATAAATTAAACTTAATTTAATTTATATTTTTGTTACATTTGTTTCATTTTGTTACTTTT